TAGAATTTTTAAAGACTAGTTAATTAAACGATATATTTTATGGGAAAAATCCATATTATATGACAAGATAGTGAAATAAAAGAAGGGAGGATGCAATGTATCGAAGTTAGTATAAATTGTATATTTATATAGATATTTTAATATCATCAGTTACTTTCGTGGTAATATATTATGTTAAAGTACAGATGTATCAAAAATATATATAAAAAATGATTTAAAGAATAATTTAAAAATATATTGTATATATTATATATGAAGGAGAGTGAAAAAGATGAGTAGTAGGGCGTATCTGATACGATTGGAATCAATATTGTATCAGATATTTTTAGAATCTCTATTAATTTGTTCTCTCTATTTTTTACATAAATATAAAAGAACAGATTCTTTGTACTCAATTATAATTTCAGATTTATTGAAAGGAAAGGCCTGAACCAATCTGTCTGTATATATCTTTTACTAAAATATCTAGAAAATTATTTGTCAATGTCCTTAAAAGGAAATGTGTTAATGCTAACGTCGAAGTGCGGCTAGACGTAATCTCTCGGTTTCTAGAGCTTGTCCCAATTCTAGAATTCGCACTTGTGCCTCCATTTCGAGTCTTTTAGCTTGATGTAAACTTAGATTAGACATATCTAGATCTTCTGTAAAATTTAAATACGAGAGTATTAAAAAAAAATTAAATAACAGTACACGATATGATATAATAATTTAATGTATTTTCAAATTAAATACCATTTTCCTCAACAAGATGATTGTAGCTTTTAGCAGTTGCTACAACATTCGCTGTAGCTTGAGTCACTTCTCTCGTAGCTTTAGAGAGTTCAGTCAAATCAAGCATATAATTATTGTATGCCTCCTCCAAATCATTAAATGATTTTTCTGTCGGTTCTAATAAACTTCCGAGATAATCGGGTGTGCAAGTTAACGCTGATATGGCCGGATTATCGATCGCATGCATTGTGTAATACAAGATAGATTCCGCCTCTGATATAGCATTCACTGAAACAAATATTCTTTTTTATATTTATGTATAAACTAATTTCAGCAAAAATATTTAATCAATACACACATTCATTACTTACATAATAAATCAAATAAAGCCGTGTTAGCGTCTGTTTATTTCATCTGATTATGGAATCGTTCAGAATCGGCTTCCAAATTTATTATTCGCAAATCCAGCTCTTCTTTTTGTACCAGTAAATCACAGAGATCTTCTTCTAAAGCTGTTTTCTTTGAATAGAGTCCAGTCGGGTTATGAAGATGATTTCATTAACATGAAGATTAATAAAAGTATAACAGCATCACAAATTGCGATAATCATTTGTTATATAAGGAACATATTCAGATTATATGGTACACCCACGGTAATTAATTCTGTCCCTCGGAAATTTTCACAAAATGAAAAGTGACCTCCTTTCTATATTAATTGTCACTATTCATGCACGATAAGGTTCAGGGTCTGAGCACAAGCACTGCCGTAATATTTTACGACATACTTAAGTTGTAGACGTAAATAACGCACAAGCTTTGGCGTATCGGCGTATGACGTGTTTATGTACATTATTGACATATCTTTCGATAGCGTGCATAAACACGTCATACGCCGATACGTCAAAGCTTGTGCGTTATTTACGTTTACAACTTAAGTAAAATGTTACGGCAGTGCTTGTGCTCAGACCCTCAGTCGTAACGTTAATCGTGCATGGATTGTGACAATCAATATAGAAAGGTGGTCATTTTTTATTTTGTGAAATTTTCCGAGGGACAGAATTAATTACCGTGGGTGTACATAAGTATCTTCGCTTCTCTATTATATACGTGCATTTACCACAAATTATTTACATTTTTAACGTGCTCATATAGATTATTTATTAATTTGTTATTTATACAATATTATTTATACAATATTATTTATACAATATGGATTTTTAAAAAATTTACGATGAGACATATCGCAACAATAAGTCATTTGTTACTTATAATCATTTTTTAGTATTTTATATTATTTGATATTATATATGGCGCATCTGGAGATTTTTATTATTAATAATAAATATAAAATTGACAATATAAGTCAACTCTTATTGTTAGTCAATTACATTCAAAATCGACAAAAAATCATTTTAATAGTCGACTATTATAAATATCAACCATAAAAATCGACTTTAAGTCGCGATCATAGAAATCAACTTTAAGTTGTCTTAACGATGGTCGCGTTCAGCAGACTCAACAGTTTTACAACTGTTTTATGATTCTTTGCTGAGATAGGACTATTCCTTTAGATCTAAAATTATAATCCAATCAGCGAGACGAATCATAAAACGGTTGCAAAACTGTTGAGTCTGCTGAACGCAGCCGATGTCTTTTGGAAGAGTCCTCAAAACGTCTTTTTCAGATGTCCTCAAGACGTCTTTCCAACTACCTGTAACAGACTTAAGCGGGGAGCACAGACTTTTGCATAACGCATAAACCATATACATAAAGAATTTGATTGGTCCATTGACTCATGCATAAGAAAATGGACCAATGAAATTCCTTATGCACATGCTTTATGCGTTATGCAAAAGTCTGTGCTCCCCGCTTTATTTTGGATAAAGTCCGAAGTCCGAAAGACGTCTTAAAAACGTCTTTTGAAAAAGTCCTCAAGACGTCTTTCTGACTACCTGCAACAGACTTATTTTGGATAAAGTCCGAAAGACGTCTTAAGAACGTCTTTTGGAAAAGTCCTCAAGACGTCTTTTTGAAGACGTCTTTTGGATGTCTTTCAGACGTGCGTTGTTCTCTGGGTTACGTCTCGTTCTCTGCCATAGCCCATAAGCTCATTGAGGTTATTTCGTTCGTTCCGTTCCGTCAATCAAGAAGACTAGAACCAGAGGCCCTATTCTGTAACTCTTAACGACAGTGTCGATATCGTTACAGTGTCGTTGCGCAGCTTTTTTATCGTATGAAATATCTGCGCAACGACACTGTAACGATAACGACGTTGTCGTTAAGAGTTACAGAATAGGGCTACAAGAGAGTAAACTCGGTCAAATATCGATAGAGGGGGTAGGCCAAAAAGTGACGGCGGATAACTTCCCCCACTCTTGCGCTTCATTAGTCCTCTCTGTACACTGATATGTATATATGGATAGCGAACGCCCTATACCAGCAATGCTAAATTTTTGTGTTGAATAGAAGGGCCGCCATGTTGACTCAGGTGTGTCATTTGAGAAGTGGGGAGAGTGGGGAATGAAGGATAGCGGTTCCGCGGGAGCTTTGAAATCAGTATAAACATAAATAGAAAGAATAAATATAGAAGAAGAAAAAGCAAAGGAAATATAGCAAGGAAATATAGCAAGAATAAATATTGGTTAAACTTATCGCATAACCTCAATAACGTAATTTATTAGTAAATTTCCCTTACCGATGAAGAGTTCTTTGCACCGATGCAGTCTTCTCTGCCTTTTTCCCACAGAAATAGCACTTCATATTGCATTTACAAAAACGATCACCAAATCTATAACTTCTTCTAAATTTGGATGGCCCAGGTTCCGGTAAATCCGGATAAACGTGGCCAGTCGTGCCAAAAGGAAATTATATGCTTCAAAAGATAGGTGTGAAACCAAAGTGGGTGATATCGTCACGCCGCAATAACGCGCGTCATGAGAGCCCAGGTCGTCAAAAGGTGCAAAATGACGAACAATCGAGACGAGCTCAACCGCGGACACGCATCTGTATGATACAATGCACAGTCAAAGTCGGCACCACTTTCAAAAATATACACTGAAGAGCACCCGAACCGAAACGCGTCCGTAACATATGACATATAACGCGACATATGTAAACATTACGAATGCACCCGACAGATACCGACAATTCCCGAAAATGACACAGTCGAGTCAACATGGCGGCTCTCAAGTCGGCAGTCGGCACACGAATTGCAGCCCATCCGCTATTATACATATCAGTGTCTCTGTCGCTCTGATAGTCGTTTTCAATTCGTGACTGCGCATGTCAAACAAACCTTGTTTCTGTTTGATTGAATTAAAAAAGATAAAACGTGCCAAAAATTTATCCCATGTGACTTACGATGACCGAGCGAATGTGCTGTGTTCGAAATTTTTTCAATCCTCAAGAAAAAGAAAATCGAAAAGGTTAAAAACAAGGAACTTGGTTATAACCGATGCGCAAACTTTCACACAATCATACAATGTGCAATGCCACTACGCATTGTGTGAATAACCGCGGATGTTTTTTGACCTACCCCCACCACGCTAGTTTACTCTCCTGGTTCTAGTCTTCTTGATTAGAGCATTCGATAAGGGCTGAATCATACAGTTAAAACATGTAATGCGCGTGTGTTATATATTGTAAATTTGTCGACATATTAAAGTAGAATTTTTAATTAAAATGTAGCTTACCTCGCTTTATTTGAAGTTAGACAAATTATTAATTTGACTCTTATTAGTCCCTTATATTACACAATTGTCAAAATAATAGTTTTTTTTACTACAGAAGCATTCTCCTGTAAAGGATACGCTTCAGTATCTCTTTCGACACCTTTTTCTCATATACTTTTTTTTTTAGCGTTATAATTTTCTTTCTATCTAAATATTTGATTTATAGCTATAAAAGTATAGATTGAGTCAAAATGTAGCTGTATTATAATAAAGAGATTATGTGTATTTCTTAATTTTCCTTTTAATTTCTAACTTATATTGTGATTCAGATAGTCCTATACAATCCTATATAATCTTCTAGTTTTCTACAAAGTATAAAAAATTCCTGAAATATTTTAGCTGTCAATTGCTGTAGCGATCCTGAAGTAATTCTTGACAACTGAGAAATATATGTATACAGTACCATTATTTCAGGAATTATTTTGCACTTGTATCTTCTATATGATACATCGAACATATGTAATATATTTCAGTTTGCTACAGATTTTAGAATTACAAAATTGTATTTAAAAAAAAACTAAAAAATAAAACTATACATGGTGTCAATGTTATACATGCTATATATACATTACTTTTATTAACGTTTAAACAAAAAATGCTGCAAAAGTACATTTTCAGATCGATTTTTAAAAAGTAACGAAAAGTTACCTTTTGAGTAACGATAACTGTATCGAGTTACTTTTAAAAAGTGATAACTAGTAACGGTAACTTGTTACTTTTTTATTCGGTAACAAGTAACTGTAACTTGTTACTTTTAAAAAATAACTTTCCATTCCCTGGTCTCCTGATATTTAAATATAATTGATTTGATTTATATAATATAAATATTTAATGTCATTTATTGTATAGATATAAAACATATAGACTTGTTACATATAGTCAATTCTTAGCATAGTCTAATAACATAGTCTAATAACTTTCAACAGAAACAAATGCTTTCATGCATATATACACCGCGAGATATTGGTACAGGGTTGTGTTCCAAAATGTAATTTTGGTTATTAAAAAGCTACAGTTTACGTTACGTCAACTATAAGTTTCAGTTACCGAAGTTACGTTTTGAAACGAATGAAATAGCCCTGAATGGTAAGTAGAGCAACAGATCTACAGCGGTAGAGAGATGTCGGATCTTGTAACAAATGGTATTGCAATATATTAGATAAGGACAGATGAATGTGTTTGAGTGAGACAAAATGATGTATAAAAAATAAATAAAAGGTATCACTATTATAATTTGGATTTAAAGATCTATACTATCGATTTCGATCAAGTTTGGCTATTGCTCAAGCATGCCTTAAAGATAAAGAGGAAAATTTTTACAATTTTTATAATTTGCTGAAGTTTTTTAAGTAGTAGACACTCTAAGGGCAAAGAAAATATCTTCATTTTTTATATAAAATTATATGTATAACATTTTTTATTTCCTTTAATAACTTTTTTGTATACCAAAATATTAAATTTAAAAAATTATTATTAATAGTTTACAAGATATTTTGTATTTCATACAAAAATATGTGTAATTCTAAAGATTAAAAAAAAATTTATTATATTATATAAATGGAATGGAAAATTGTATTATATATACATATAAATTATACAATTTTTCATTCCAGTTAATATAATTTTTTTTAAAATAGGATAAATATCTGACTTGCATTACTTCTAAAAGAATATTTTTTGTGAGAAATAGAGAACAAGATGCATGTTACAAATTAAATTACAAAAAGTATTAATTGTCTAATTCTAATTTGTTTTGTCTATCTCTGTACATATATACGTTAACCATAAGTATCAGATGTACATAAAAACCGATTATTAAAAACTCGAACATTATAGCAATGAAAAGTCATGATTTATGACAGGATAGACATTGTACCAGGTGCACAAATCTTTACTTGCCAATCTAACAATTTAAACAAATGTGTTGTTTTCTCTACTAAGTGATATTTAGATCTAACAGAATCTGTCTTCCAGTAAACAATTAGTTTACCAGATGTATCACTGAAATGTCCTGTCTTAAATGGTTGTGCTATAACACATACATGTGCCATATGTTTTAAGACATTAGCAATCACATCTGTATTCAAAGTCTGTAGATGCTCTTGATATGTATGTGCAAGAATACAAAGCTGTGACAAGGGATACAATGATATAAATGATCTTAAATATCTTATAAAATATATAGTATCACGTACACTAAGCCCAAGATCAAGAAAATGATTTATATCATCAATTATAAGGACAACGGATTCAGTAAATCTTGCTGCTTCATCATACTTCTCTTTAACATGTGCAAAAATTCGATATGCAATATCTACATGTTCTGTAGAAGTAATATCTGGAATAATCGTTTCTTTCTTATTTGTAAAACTTTTACATGTATCAATGATACTGCTGGCTATAATTTTCATTGGTTCGACAACAGTGACTCGGCCCTTTTTTTTTAAATTAAGAAGATTGTAGCCAAGTTTCATGCCAATGTTGTGATAATGACCAAAGGTATTATGACAAAGAATGAGGCAAACAGCGACGTCCATCCTTTTTAATGCATGTGATAAAATGGCATTCACTAAGAAATTTGCGTTGGTATTATGTTGCTCTTTGATCAAGATTGTTTTACCATCCATGTTTATCCTGTCAATTCCAAGAATATTGGATACCATTATCATTGGGGTAGCCATAATAACTGAAAAATAAAAGTACATGTTATTGTTACATTTTGCAAAAAACACAATGTAATTATTTAGTACCGCTTCCTCACCTCAAATTTTAAGGTAATTATTCAGTTGAGCTCCCCAATCGCAAAAATCAATAAATTTAGACTTATTTGATGCGTTTTTGTATAAATCGAAAGAATCTGGCAGAAAAGTGTTGCTATGCCCTGCGAACTGAGATATTAATACTTAATAGTAGAAGTAGACCACTTTTGAGGTTACGATTGTTACGAAACCTGTAGGCCTATTCTGTAACTCTTTAACGACAACTTTAATAGCTAGGGATGTCGTTGCGCTGATATTTTACATGGTATAAAACCTGCGCAACGACAGTATAGGGTGCCGTCTATCCATGGACATAGAAATATATTCTATGTCCATGCGTCTATCGCATATAACTTTTGACTACATACCATGGTGGAAGTCATATATATAATACTACTATATGGCTAGTGCCTATAAGAGGGAGTGAGAGGAAGCGGTCCCAGAACCACGGTGCGGGAATATATATTTCCCTCTCTTTCTAAGAGTACTTTGAGTGTTGTGCGCATGCGTTGGATTGATTGCATCCGCCAATAGGAAAATAGAGTGCGATCAGTGAGATGACGCGAACAGGTTATGCTCGTTATGCTTATTAGATGTGTACTGTTGTACACAGGCAAAAATGGTCAAGATATGTTATTTATGTGGCAAAAAGCCTAATGCGCCTAATGCGACTGAAAACATTAGTTTGCATAGGTATGAAATAGGTATTAGTTTGCACTGATTATCATGAAATTTCTGTAAGGGATTGCACTGTATTCTTATATACATAACGGCAATTTTGAAAAAGTTTATTTCATAAAATTAGGATTAATTTATTTATTCCGACT